TGCCACGAGAACACAGGAGACGCACGCACGCAGGACAGGACTCGTCAGGATAGTTGGGCTCCAGCCGGGAGTTTTACGACAGCTACTGACCTCGGACGAAGAAGACACGCACACGAGAACACTGAAGCTGCCAGACTAGTTGGGGTTCACCGGAACCTTACGACAACTACTGGTACGAAGACAGAAGCACGACACGTCACTCAACACACCACCGTAGGGCACGTTGACACGGGGTCCACAGCAGACACGTCACTTGACACGCCACTCAGGGTGTGTTTAATACGGGGTCTAGAGCCGGAACAGACACGTCACTTGACGCACCACTCAGGGTGTGTTTAATACGGGGTCTACAGCCAGGAAGACACGTCACTTGACATACCACAGGGTGTGTTTAATACGGGGTCTAGAAGACAGGCACTCGCAGCCTTACGCAGCCAGCACGCAACACTCCCAACCAGTATAGGGGAGACTCTGCCCAGATACTCAGGGCAACCACCATCCGAGACTTCCGCATAGGTCTCAGTACACCACAATCACCCACACACCACCACACAAGCAGTTATTCAAGGATCATAGCCCGCCCGGCTTAGTCACGAACTCGGCAAAGCCACTGTTGGAAAAGCAGGAAACCCCACACGCTTTGCGGCAGCATCAGGGAATCAACATCGCCCAACCCCTCACCCCTTTTCACCTATCAATCATCCGATTCCCGGATAGCATACGACAGCGTGCGGATAGGAGCGATGTCAGAGGCGACATCCTCGGTGTTTTGCCCCCTCACGGCGTCAAGTGCATGGCGAATTTCTTGCAGAGTTTGCTGTACGAGCTCTTTGCGCTCTACCATCTCGGCCGAACGTGCGTTGATGAGCGAGGCCAACTCTTGCGTAGGTCCTAGCTGTGTTGTCAGCTGCTCCAGCTGCTCCTTGTAGTGAGATCCTTTGGCGGTCAGCGTTGATATACCGCGCTCGGCTTTCGACAGCCTAGTTTGCAGAATCTGGAACGCATCGTTCCAGCGCGTCTGGAGTTTCTGCATGTTGCTGCATTCCCCGCGTAATGCATCTTATGAGGACGATATGAGCGAATACCTTAGGATGATAGCTTGACCCTCATACCTGCTGCCTGATTGCGTGCTAATTTGACCGGCTGGAGGAGGTCATGCGCTTCCTGGCGCACGCTTGCAACCTCCGTCTCTACTTGCTTCAGGCGCTCGTTGTATAGGTTCTACGAAGGGGTATGAGTTACGTAGCGGTACGGCAGCTGCTCGCGGTACGGAAGCTGCTCGCAGTACGGGAATGAAAATGACTACACACCTGCTCTCGTTCTACATTGCGTATAGAGCGCGTGGTTGTGCCGCTGACACAGTCTAGTGCGTCGAGTCTCTCCATGACCGCCGAAAACCTTTCCTCCCAACGGCTCTCGATACGTGTCAGCTCTTGCTGACTACAAAATGTCAGTTAGAGGATAACTTGGATAGCGTTGCCCACGTACTGTCTTATGGAAGGTAAATGAGACTGTGCAGGTGGCTCCGCCTCGCTCGAGTAGTCAGTGTTCCCGCGAGCTTCTTCGCTGAAGTCCCCTTCACCGAGCATCTCGAGGTCCGAGGAGACAATGTCGGGGTAGTCAGATCCAGACGACTCGGAAGACATGATGCGGTAGAGTGAGAGAGTGAATGAGAGTCCTCATCGTCAAGTCGTCGTCAGGTCTTCGCGGCTCACTGCAAGCTAAGTCCATTGCGAGTGTAGTGGCCTTTGGCAAGAGAAAGACGAGAGCCCTGAGCAGTATAGACGCCCATAACCGGGCGACCGCGACGCTTAAAGTCACGCAAACTTGTATGACGGTCACACTGAAGCCAAAACCGAAGGCGCATTACTGTATGAAGCATTACAGGAGATATCATATATACATATACAAAACAAATTACACACGATCTGTGAGAGGAATACGATCAGGAGACATCGACGCTGAGACAAGAACGACGTACTTTGGTGGAGCCTTTTCATGAACCAGCTTCGTTCGAGCCATGAAGGCAACTTCCTCCCCTCCATCAGAGTGAGCACCCTCCCATCGCCTCGGATGTGGCCTTGAGTGACGGGCTTCCAGCCCCCGTCCGAACCCTCCGCCGGAATCCGAACCCAGAGCTGCTCGTGACCGGGTGCTCGGTGTACGTACACGTCTCCGAGCTCCAGAACATCGTTGCTCTCGCTTAGGTCGGGTGGGGCGAGGATCTTGAACGGCGACTTTGACTCCCACCAGTTAACGATGATGTCTAGAGCGGGCGTTTTCCCCTTGACACAGATACGACTATCGCGGAACGGGAGCTTGACTCCCTATAAACCGTGTCAATATCAGCGGTATGGGTAGAAGAAGATGGCTTGCCTTTCCGTTGAGCGAGCCGGATATCGATGCCTCACGCAGAGGCGCGATGTTGAATATAACCGACGACATTGTCTTCGCCAATCTGGTGCCCAGGCTCGGTTTGTCGCCCGTGGAAGGTCCTGCTCGACTCGGAGAGGAGCCTGCAGCTGAGGGCTCTGATACCGTAGCGGAGGTCTCCAAGAATGTCGTTGATTCGCGGTGATGGGTGTCCGACTCGGAAGAGCTCGAGCTCGAGCTCGAGCTCGGGCTCGAGCTTGAGCTTGGAACTGGCTCACGGACAAGTACGGGGCGCGCCACGGGACGCGCCACGCCTTTTCCTTTGTCCAAGGACGACAGGGGAGTTGGATACACAGGACGTACGTGGTCCGAGGCGACATCAACCCCGTGTATATCCTCGTGCGCGCTTCTGCTGTAGGTAAACGAGGGCTCTGTCTTAATCGGGCGTAGCGTAGGGCTAGAGGGTGGCGTCAGAGCTGAGGCCAGTGATCAAGAAAATAAATGCGTACCGTATCCCACTTGATACTTCATTCCCTCCGAAGTCGCGCGTGATGCTGGTTATGGCATGGGTGTTGCGGTTCGGGGTTGACGGCGGCGCGAAGTGCAGATGAGTGGTCTTGTCGGGCGCAATCTCGGCAGATGCGCTGAAGGTATACGCAGCTGGTTGGAAGCGACGCAACTCTCCGGGGGTCGCGGCACGCCTGCGTGCCAACCAAGCTGCACCCTCCCACAAGATAGGTCCCAGAATGACAAAAGCAAGCAGCAGATCTACGCTTGAGAGCATCGTCGAGAGAGGAGAGGTGAAGGATGGGTGGCGGCCATAGGCCACACGTTCTTGACCCCATATGTCAAGGGAATAAAGAAACCAGAAAGAGAGGTTGCAGATGGTGAGCACACAATGGAGGCGCAGCGGAGCGGAGCAGAGCAGAACGGAGTAGAGCAGAGCAGAGCGGAGCAGAGCAGAGCGGACGCTCTCGACCGCCCGGCTTAACCGGCCCGGTCCGCAAGATCCTGTAAGCGCTAACTCATCCCGCGCGGCCAGTGTAAATGTCGCCGACCCGTATACATATTACACAAGTCTCAGTGGTAGGCTCGCATGAGGATATGAGAGCATTGATATAGAGAACGTGATACAAGATGATATACATGCGACGGGTGCTTGGGAACTAGATGGAGAAATCGTAATCTGTGTCGATCATCTGAAGGTTTCGCAACTGATGCGGACAAAGGGTATCCAGCCATGCCGGGTTGTAGCAGTTACGGTGCAGGCCAGAAGGAGCGTTCCCATCTTCCGTCTTGCCGCCGTCGCGGAGAATTCGCAAGCGAGGCGGGTTACCTTGAGTCGCACGCGTCCCCTTCGGGTGCAACCAGTCCTCTATCCCCATCTCGTCGATGCGCCATAGCATCGTGCGCAGTGGTAAAGACTGCCAATCAGATATCACGATGCTCCAAGTCGGGAGGTGCGTCTTAGAGGGCCCGTCGGTCTCATCGCCGCTCATGTTGCGCGGTTTCAGCTGCTTCAACAGTGCTGCATGCTGGTTCAGGTTGCGGCGGATGACCGTACGCCTCCGAGACTTCAAGAGCTATCGTCACAGCGGATGAGATCCATGTTGTCCCCGTAAGGAACAAATGTACTCACCGTCTTTCTCCGCATGACCATGCAACCATGACGAGAGGCTTTATCTGAGTCTTCGGAGGAGAGTGGCTTGATGCTGCAACGATATAGTAAACGGCAGTACTTCATGCGTCTGTCCAGGACATCGCCGATGGCCTCACGAGTGAGGAGATGGCGTGGCGTGGGGTTTGTCATGAAGGCGCCGCTTGCCACTGTGGCCAGAAAGTTGCTGATGAAGACGTCCCTGGCGATCTTGTTGAATTCGAATCTCTTCCAAGGTTTGTGGAAGTCCACGCGGAAGTTCTCAGCAGAACATGTCACCATGTCCTCCCTAGCGGCAACGGACTTGATCTCCTCCTCGGTGAGCGGGGGATATCTTTGAGCTACGGTCTTCCAATCGTGAATGCCGAGCATCGTATCGAGTACCTTCCGCACGCGTGCCTAAAAGAAAGCTGAGTATATGTTACACTGGCTGACCAATATGTGAAACACATACCCGAAGGCGGACCACGTCCATGTCAACAGAGCCGTCCTCGTCCTCGTCCTCTTCACTGAACTCGTCGTCGTCATCGCCCTCATCTTCGTCCCCCGCTTCGTTGCCAGAGACATGCCCGTCGCCATTGCGGTCCTCGTCCATCTCGTCGTCAGCGGGTGGCATCTCGCTGCGTGCGTTTCGCACTCGGGTGGGGCCGCCGTGGTTCCGCTGCTTACTCCCGCTGCCCTTTGTCTTCGAGCCGCCAGAAGGCTGCCCAACACCGGAGGATCCGGCAAGTGCCGTTAGGGCCGAGCTCATCGCCTGGTTCATGGCCCTCATTTCTGACACCATCGCTGACCTAAGGGCATGCGGTCAGGAAATTGTATGCCAGATTAAACAAAAGCAGTCTGCTCACTGAAAGTGATACATCGTCTGGTTCATGCCCTCCATCCTCTTTACGAGGAGCATTACCACAGGCGCATTCACAATACCCGAATTGTCTCCGGTTGCGGGCACCGTTGGCTTCAATATCGTCAGCTGCCATATCAAAGCCAGAGGTGACTTTATAACCCACCCTATCTGCGCTCCGCGTTGGACCCATCCCTGGTACCCGAAACGGAGGCTCTGGCTCCGGGGGATGGACGGGTGATGGGGATTCACAGAGGTTCTGGTACGATGAGTAGTCAGAAAGCGTCGCGCGACCCTACACAGAATGTGAGCGACGATGCAGACCAGGAAGATCATGTTGCGCGATACACATACCTTGCCCTTTTCCCGCACTCGCTGCGTCTGAAGCTCCGGGGAGGGCACATTCTGGTACGGTAGACTGGGGGAGGGCGCATGTCCGCGATCTTCTTGTATGGTCCTGGACGAAGAAGCCGCGGTGCTGTACATAGGTGCGGAAATCTACACGGTCGTATTAGACGTGTAAGTCGTGAAAACATCGGGTGGAGAACTTACCACATCCTCCTCCTCTCCCTGGCTTGGCATCGCATGAGCCACTTCCCGGCTAGAAAACTGGCCGGAATTGGTCGGGCCCGCCACACCACGCCCAGGATGCGGATATGAAGCGCCCAATACAGGATATTCACGACCCGATACTGTAACTTTCAATGCAACCCGGAGGGTCACACGTCACACGGGGGTCCTCCGCCCGTTTTTTGGCCGCCGTCACACGTCACCAAGGCCGTCCGGGGCTTTAGCGCCCGCTTCCAGCCGCCCTTTCCGGCGCTAAAATACCTGTTTTGGAAGGTGCCTGGGCGCCTCCTTGTCCCCGGTTTCGTTCCACCGTGTCACACGTCACCCCCCCCTCCGGGTTGCATTGAAAGCTACAGTACGGGCACTGGACCAGGAGCAGGGCGAATCTGCTCACGCGCAGTCGCACTTTCGTGCAATGACCACACTTGTGCGCGTTCCGCGTCGTTCATGTGTGCCCACATCGTTATCGCTTGATCGTGTGTCTGTGATAGCAAAATGTTAGAGATTCGTCTAGATAGACAGAAATGAGAACCTCACGATATCATGTCCGTGGGTCGACCGATAGAGTGCCTGAAGTAGCTGCACAATGCCCAGTGGCAACTTCCAGCTATGGCCTCCGTTTATGGTCTCTCCAGGAGGCGGAGCGGCGGCAGGAGGCGCGTGATGGTCACGAGCGGAACCAACGTGATAATTTGGGGCGAACCGCTCCTGCTGCATGTTACCCGTCGATGAAGATGTTTCCGTAGACGGATGTATCGGCTCTGCTCCTTGGAAACGACGTTGAGGCGGGGCAGACATCGGGTCGACTGGGAACGAATTCGGGGGCGGATGAGGATCGCCATCCGTCGGTCCATTGGAGTACCGCGAAAAGTTGTTCAAAGGAGCGTAGGACGGCAGGTTCTCATGAGCACCGTGCTGGCCGCCACCAGTCACAACCCGAGGATCGAAGCTGACAAGGCGTGTCTGGTGTGCAGCGGAATTGTGTCCGGACGTGGTCTCCTCGCGCATAACCACATCGGAGTGAGAGGATTGTCGAGGATCGTGCCATGGCGGGTGAACCGGACCCGACATATTGGGGTCATACTGCCCAGGGTGAATGCCCGATGGAAAAGACTGTTGTTGCGGCCGCTCAGGCTGTCCATCAAAGGGGTGCTGGGGAAGGGGGCGCGGCTGTTGCGGCGTGCGGTATTCACTGCTGGTATCTTCGTACATGGGGCCCTCCACACCGTATGCAGCATGCGGGCCGTGTGGCACATATTGGGGTGTCGGGGGCAGCGGGACCTGCGCGACGGACTGATTGTGGAAATGTTGGACATGCCGGTTATCGTGGGTCAGCGCAGCCGGGGGAATCATTTGCTGCGCGATGACGGGAGGTTGATATACGTGATCATGAGTGGACGACGAGTAGCTCTGACCGGGAGCAGAGCGAGATGTAGAAGGCGGGGCGTCAGCTGAGTGAATGCTCCTGATACTCTCCCGTCGTTGCGCGCCCAGCGACGGTACGAATCTCTGATAGCGCCGCCTCCGATCGTCCCGATGACTGCTCGACTCCCTCGGATGGACTGCTTCGGCAGCACCCGATGTCGACGCAATCGGGTAGCGAACGCCTTCAACTGGAGCAGCCAGTACAGCTTCTTGACCTGTCACTCCCTCCCTCAGGGTGTGCTCCTGCGAAAGTATATGGCCGTGCGTACGAGCTGCGACCGGAACGGGGGCAATGGTTTTGGGAGATGTTGTCCTCCTTTGCGGCATTGGAACGACCATGCGGGCCTGCGAGGGTGGGCGATCGCGTGGTGACTTGTACTGAGGGGACTCGGGCTGCGGGGACTCGGGGAGCGGCATGTTCTGGGGAGACTGTATCGACGACGAGTCGCCCTAAGGCAAACAAAATAGGGTTAGATGGCCATGTAGTTAACGGACGAACACACACAGGCTGCGGGAAAACCCACCAGCACTTCATGTCGCCGCGCTATGTCGTTGTCTCTGATGTTGACCTTTGGACAGCATGTCAGCGAAGGCCATAATCAATACTGAGTCGCGTACATTCCACGAGGACGCCACCTCCATGGGCGGAACACTCTTCTAGATACGGGTAGAGGTTAGCAGGGTAACAAGGAGTTGCGGATGGCAACTCGAACTCACGTCTTTGTCTCTCTTTCTGACTTTTGAATTGACAATCTTATGCAATGGCTTCAGGCGTTTACGCCCCACAACCTGAGATGTGTCATATCCGCTCTCCGTGTTGATGGGGAGACGGAGAGGTGCCCGCTGAGCGTCTGTTGATGCAACGGCATTCAAAGGCGATGTGACTTCATGAGAAGTGGCGGATCCAGCCGCTACAGGGTGGTTGATAGAGTGCGGGGGAGTCGAGAGAGTTCCTTCGCCCGTCGAAGGGGCTTCCGCAGGGTGGTTCATGGTGGGATGAGGGAGCTGGGGATCTGAGAGTTACACCGCACGCGTCGCGTCGCGAAGCACCTCTTGAAGTCGCGCTTGTATAATGAGCATGCATACTAGGAGAGGATGTCGTTTGCTTGTATCCCGGTATTGCATATTGAATGCTGTTTGATAATTGCTGAGGTGTTTTGCGACCGTCGAAAGTGTCAAACGTGTACACTCTCAATAGAGTCGCACAAGCGCGCATGTAGTCGGAGTCAAACCCGGTGAGTCCGAGTGCACGTGGCCTTTGTGGGTCCTTGTCATTACAAGAAGCGTATGTTTGTTGCACTTTATGCGCAGGGAAGCCACCGTCGGAAGCAATTTACAGTAAAGCTCTTCGACCCCTGCAGCGGTTGCGCGTCGCATCGACGACGTGATAGGAATTGCATACGTGATATACATAAAGCTATACAAGTTGGCGCGACGCGGGACCCGTTTGTGCGCCATGAACGCGAACGCGATACAAGCATGTACTATTTGCCCCCCAGTTATCAACCACCTCGAATACGACGACCCCGAAGTCTATCCCCGACTCAATTACCCACTGCTGCACATCGAAGGTTTGGACGTGGGTCAAACCGTGGATATCATAATGAGCGGAGGCCAGGAGGGCGAAGTGAAGACCACAGGTTATGGCGGGTCCCACAAGGAGAGGCGGCTCCCTACCTGACGCGATAAGGCTGTCGGTGGTGTGGCGCAATAGGCCCTGGTTGGCGTCGCCATCCACCGCGCCCCACACGTGAAGTAGGCGGGGTGCCTCCCCAACATCGGCGGCGATCTCTTGAGGGATATGGTCCACTGACACATGGGTTGGGTACATCATGTGCGAAAGTCGTAGACCGAGTTGTCCACGGCGCGCCGGAAGTTGCCAGCAGCTTCCAACGTGCATATCTTCTTTGAGGGCGAGCTCGGGAGGATGTGAGGACGGCGTCTTCGGTCGCGGACTCATTTCAGAAGTGATATCCGGAATAGGCCAGCCGCCATTGGCGTACAGGGCAAAGTCCCGCCGCCCGACGGCATCCCGAAGGGCGCGATGTACAGCGAGGTCGATGTAGGATTGTATCCGAGCGTCGATTTCTTCCTCTCCCGAGTTCACGAATGCTTGGAGAAATTGGCGACCCTTGGTGAGGAGAGCGGCTCTGGCGCCTGGATCGCGCGACGACTGATAGCGAAAGGCGAGCGTGGTAGCCACTAACAGCCCCCAGAGGCACAATGCAAAAAGTCTCCAGTTGAACGAGGAGATAGCTCCTTGACGCGAGGCGAGGAGTGTCCCTGCTCGTCCTTGAATACTGGTTATATCGGGGAATAGGTAGTACATGTACTTGCCTTCCTCGCGGAGTGGCTGGGATGCATGAGGCGCCGCCATGTTATCATCGGTGTCAGAGTTCGAGAGTTCTGCGTTGCGAGCGAATTGAACCCTCCTCCCTCGTGCTACAAGATCGATGTTCAAACGTTCAACACTCCGCCCCCAGGCGCATGCGCTATCGCTACTCACCAGAGCCAGCGTGAGGAGCTCTCGACTCCACGAATGCGAAGCGCCCAGTATCGAATTCTCCAGCCATCGTGATCGCCAGTACAGTCGTATAAAAGCTTTGACAGTGTCCAGCAGAGATATGAGGTCGCGGCAGTCCCGGGGTGTAGCCAGACTGTGGCGGTTCGAGTTCACGATGCTTCGCCCAGCGCCTCCACGAGGCCAGGTTTGGCGCTAAAAGATCTTTGTCCTTGCGTCCACCCCGCGGGTCCTCGTCCATGGCCACTGCCCTCATGCCTCGCTTCTCCACAGGATCCCACTTTTGCCTCCTCTTTCTGCTCTCTGCTTTCACGCCCGGACTGCGTTATCTGTGTCATGCCCTTACCGCTTCTGTACCGTGAACACACCCGCTTGAAGACGGCCCGTGGAGGCCAAAACGTCGGTGTCGTCGACGTCAGCTACAATCCTGGAGGAAGCTTCCTTGCTATAAGTACCCGGGACTGCTTGGTCTCCATCTGGAAAGTTTCCGATTACCAGCTGCTTCATGTGTACTCTGGCAGTAGCATTGCGGTCTCGTTAAGCTGGCTCCCAGCCAGAGAGGATACCCTCATGTGCGGGCTCGAAGACGGAAGTATCACGTCGTTGACTATAACGGATGTGAGCCACCGCCAGCTTGGGCGTGATATTGACCTGATATTTGCAGTCGTCCCTCGATGTGGTTGGCTTTTGGGCACATGCCTTCCCGGTGGAATGTCTGGCGGCAAAGGGGATGTCCTTAGCGTCCGGAGCCCACGAAGAGCTATTCATCTGGAAGCTGCGAGACGGTATGTGATCGATATACTGGAAGGGTTGTGCTAATAGCTCGTCAGGTAAATGGTGCGCTGAACGGGACTTGGGCATGCCGCCTACCTCATCCCACAATGAAGCGCGAGAGGTCATCGTCACCAGCATACACTGGACTAAATCTAAACGGTACTCATCTTTGCTGCTTGTTACCTTCCTTCATCACGGCTTCATGTGAGTGCCATGTTGTGCGTTTTTTTAAACTCATGATCATACGGGCACAGGGTCTTCGACGCCAAGACCTGGACGAGAATTCGCGCGTTCCCATTGAAGGGCTGTATGTAAGTGATATTTCAACACATACTCGAGTTTTTGGTAACGGCACGCCTTTTACACAGCGCCGACGCCGACATCACAGCGGATGGGCGGACCATGGTGATCTCGAACATGACCACTGGCTTCGACCTCTACGACGTAGAGTCCATGTCGTCTATGGGGACGTATAAGCACGACGTCGCTGCTCTACGGATGGTCCCTGTTACCTTCATACATGGCGGAAACGCCGTTGTGAGCGGCAGTACGGTGGGCGAGGCGCATCTGTGGGATGTAGAGACCTGTTGTGGGATCCACACCCTTCCACTGCAACGTACGCGTCACGCCGAGCATGCGCCACACACCCGACTAACTACCAACCTATAGAGAAGGATCACCTACTTGCCATGGACGTGAGTACCACGGCGAATGTGGCACCCTTTCGCTTTCTCATCCATACTTTGCAGGCTTTCTATGACCGCCCCAAGGACCGGTTTTTTATCGCGACGGCGATATACAACCCAACCACCGAGGACGCCGTCGTCATCTGGAAGACCGAGAGGCTAGGTAAGTGGTGAATACCACGACCCATGTGTTGCAGGTCTAGCTAAACATCCGTAAGGTGGCAAGGTGAACATCAAGGGGCTCCGAATCAAGAAAGCCATCTTCAACGCATCAGTAAGCGTTGTTTTGTGTCCGTACCCTATCAGCTACTGACCCTGGTCAGTGGATGACCATAGTAACAGTTTGCCTTATGTTAGCCATGGTCGCTCTTTTGGTTGGCTCGGTATTCGGCAAGTTGTGAAATATGTAGTGTATTGGAAGGCACTGTAATGTGGTTCTATCGTTCACAAGCCTATACAAGGGGTGATTGGTCAGATATCGATGGTAAACCAGTCATACATGTATGCATATTGAAGGAAGCCCTGCTCGTCAACGAAGTCATCATTCAACATCTCGGAAGTGTCCGACCACTCGACGCCGAGCTCAGACACATCGTCGAGCTCGGACAGGTCGGAATCGAGATCGGACAAGTCGGAGTCGAGCTCGGACAGGATGGAGTCGAACTCGGACAGGATGGAGTCGAACTCGGATAGGTCAGAGTCGAGCTCGAATAGGTCGGAGTCGAGCCGGGAAGCGTCAGAGTCAAACTCCAACGCGTCGGTGGCGATCGCGGACAGATTGGACGAGCTCCGATTGGAAAGCAAAACTTCGGATGACCAGCCTCCATGATCGTCCTCTGTGCCAAGCATCGGGGCGATGTGGCGACCGGGAAGCGCGAGCGTCGCCCTCCGGTGGACACTCGACCGAACGCGGTTATCCGACCAGTTGAGGTAGTCAAGGTAGGAACGAACGTCCGCAAAGCAGATATTCAACCCCCAGTCCGCCAGACTATATGTTATAGAGATGCCATCCTGCGTGATGATGAGCAGGCGTTGACACGAAACAGAGGGGGGTAGATACACTACCAGATAGGGATTCTGCAGCATCACGCAGTCTACGAACAGCACTCCCTGAGCACCAGCATCGCATACTAATACTGCAAATCGTCAAAACAGATGACGGCGCAGCGGCATGGAGTAACATACCGCTCGATTGGTCCACGACGACAACTGTCAGTGTCGCGTCGCGCGAAGTTAGAGAGCCAGGTTGACTATTGCACCAAGCGTGTACATAGACGTCGCTGATCATACGGCTGTGAGGTGGTCAGCGGAGAGCTACAGCAGGGAGACCCACACGCACGAATTGGTCACCATAGCGATGAGTTTGGTCGAGCGACCACGAATATGCCCGCGTGGCTTTAACCCGTCCCCACTGACATTGCCGTTCTGATACGACAAGGCGCAAAGGAGCCTCGACCTGAAAGAATACTATCCCACGGTAGCGGAGCAATAATACGACAAGGATTGACAAGCACCATTGGCCAACAAGACAGATAGGGGGTACTGGAGGAGGAGGTAGGCGGCGAGTGACGTTCGGCGACGGGAGGTGGTGGGACGCTCGAGGGTTGATTGTTTGTCCTTGCTTGCCAGGAGAAGATGATCACGGCGCTGAGCGCTGAGCACTCCTCGAGCGCTGCCGTCGAGCTTCCTTGTTCAGACTCTTCACATTGACGAGCGTATGTTCTGCATTGTCCTCAACGTGCTCTGCGAAACGTCTTTGGCAAGGCAAGAATATAAACGCGACGCCATGGCCAGTGTCGCTTTACTCACACTTCTCGCGTTCAACCCTCACTCGTACATCCTGACCTCTCTTCTATCCACGCTCCAACATGCCAGCGATTCCGTGAGTTTTGGACTACATATGAGCACCCATCCCGTCTAATGCATCAATCCAGGCAGCAAGAACGGCAGGAAGACCTCCCCCGGGTCGTCTTCGCTTCTAGTGCTACGACCTACACCATGGAGGTCCCGGCCGAAGGGATGATGGCCCCGGCAGCGGCTCACGTCGCTCTCGCGGAGATCGCTAAGGACACATGTACGTACTCTTTGTGGTCTTCTTATCTTCTAGCTTCGGCTCACAACCCGTCAGATGGTATGGTCATATGCCAAACCATGGCCGAGTGCCAGCTATGCCCCTACCCTCCCAAGGCGCAAGTTTCGTGCGTCATCGACGACACCGTAGTCATGTGGTGCAACGAGGTGCACAGTATTTCGCTTCTGAGGGCCACGCACTGGTCTAACCGAATTGTCTATCACAGCAGGCCCACGTCGTGGCGTTGGGTAGGACCAACCCTGAGTCTGTGCCGGGCAACCCTGGCTGGACTCGCATCGACATCACCTTCACCTCCGCGCTGGATTTCCTGTGGTTCATTAAGGTCTTCGCGGAGGCCAAGTCTGATGTCATCCACCGCGCGCGTGAGCTCCGGGACAAGTTGCGCCGTGTCATGCGGACCGTCCCGAGCCATTCGCCTCCCTCGCGGCCTGAGCATCTGTGCACGGTGGCTTCTCGTATGTTCTTTCATTGCTTCCTACAAACCCACGTTCTCATATACATTTTTTCTAGATCGCGCCTCCATCACTGCTAAAGTAGTCCAGGTCAGCGAGGAGGACGGCCAGGATGCCGGCCAGGAGGAGCTGCCGGTTGCTTGATCAGCTTGTCGTGTTGCCTTGAGGCTTGTTCCCGCTTCGTGTTGCGCTGTTCCCCTCCTGTCCCCCGCTTCTCTGTATGCTCTGTTATCTGGTCGATCAATATACATGTTGCTCTCTTCGTCTGTGAGCTCAGTCGTCCTCACGCGTCCGCGCCCCTTGCATTTGGGCTATGGGCATTGATCAACTTGGTGATTGGTTGAGCACCGGACACCTGATGCGTCACTGTTGGCGGCGGGAACGTGGGCGGTGTTCGAACTTCGGAGTTCTAGATTGCACTCAGCCCGCCGCTGGGGCTCCGGCGATCATAAAACCTCTACGATGTTGTATCGCGATCGCTAGTGTCCCTCCCCCTCGTTACTACAGTCCTCCCAGTTCGATCACACACTCGTACCCATGTCTGTCGACGGCCCTCAAGACCGTGATGCCGCCGGTGAGCTCCTTGAAGTGTGTCCTTCAGAGGCCACGACTAACTGTACGAGCCCATTTTCACAGCTCACACGCCTAACACGCCCGCCATCGCGCCGAACACGCCCGTCATCGCGCCGAACGTGCCCGCCACCGTGGCTGAGGAGATCAAGGTGGAAGTCCCTGTCGCATGTAATCCCACCGCATAACTGGTCACACCCGATGGCTAATGTCAGACCCAGATTTAAACGGCCTTGAACTCGAGCTCGCAAGGACTCGAGCGGCCGTCACCGACATAAACGCCGAGAACCAAACCCTCGTGTTCATTGCATCGTTGGCGACCTCACTTTGGCACCATTACTATCATCATGGGGAGTGGTTGGAAAGCATGTTGGCCGCCATGCTGGACCCGGACGTCCTTCGCATTGTTTTCCCGTACAAGTAAACGGGCGACTCGAGAGGTAAGCAGCACGTCTTGCGCGACTTTGCGAAAGTTTATTCAAGTGGACAATATGCTAGGCTTGTCTTTCTGCCATTGGAATCGCTTTTGTAGCTCTCGTGGTTCATAGCTGTCGATCAACGTGTTTTGTTTACGCTCCCCCGTCGCCGCTCCTTAGATGAATAGCCGTTGTTATCTTTGCTCTCGGTCTTCCGCAGTTCAGCCTTCCGCAGTTCCTTGTATGCCGCCCTTTCGTGTGCAATCGATCCGCCATGAACATACATGTTTTGCCTCAACTGCGCCATCAACGATAGTCCTCCATGCGGGACAATGTGAGTGTCACCTCAGAACACGAGAGGCCTAAATAGCGGCCTCAGCGACCACGACATGTTCTCAATCACCGCTTCCCCAACCTTCTCAGGACGAAACACGTAACCCTCTACTGCATACTGTCATGACATCTGTTGAAAGCCAGCAGCCTCCAACGGTAAGCACTCAGCCAGATGTTTTGAAATGACACTGATTTCAAGTTTACAATGCAGGGTATATACGCCCATGCCCACAGCCAGGCCATCGCGACGTGGGCGGGTGTTTGCGCAGCGATGGGCCATGTCATTGACGTGTTGTTCACCGTCGCCATCCTCCTCAAGACCCCAATCGCTCATTTCCTTGCCGTCGCTGCAGCCATCGCACTCTACTCGTCCCTTTTTGGGTTGGTGTTCGCGTTTCTTCGTAGCACCGTCGAGGAAGGCTTGACCACCAAGATCTGCGTCCTCCCTGTCGTTTCGCGCCTCCCATTTTGCGCCACTCCGATCCAGTCTTCACTCCCCCACACCAATCCCGTTTCCGCGCATGCCGACTTCCCGAACCTGGTCAGACTCCAGAGCACGGCCTTGGACGAGTTGCTCGACCACTCCGCCTCGGGTGCAGACCTTGCCGTCAATCTCAAGCAAGCTGAGTTGGCTGTCAGTGATCTCGTCACTCTGGTCAGAGCGAGTAACCTCACCGCCAAGGACGTCCTCGCGGACGCACTCTTCGGGTTTGTCGGCGATGCCAAGGTCGCCGGGCGCGGCTTGCAGCGACTCGCTTCGAAGGTGCACAGCGTCGCAGATACGTGAGTCAACGTCACGCCCCTACCATCGCCAAACACCGCTGACATGCCGCAGTATGTCTGCCTTCAACAGCTACGCCTACTATAAGATCGAAGAAACCCGGAAAGGCGGACCCGCTAGCACCGACGTCACCCTCACTCATGTATTCCATTCCTCCATGGACAACTTCGCCTCCCAGCTCACCCGCATCATCTTCGACGGCACTGCGGTAGCCTTACAGTTGGACGCATTGGAGGAGCGCCTTGCAGCCGTTCATAGCCTCTGCGTGCAAGAAAAGATCTCCATGCACGCGGTCTTGGATGATCTTCTCTCGGAGCTCTGGACGATACTCGGGGGGAACTCGAGCAAGTTGCAGGCCCTCAGGGATGGGCGGGCCATCCTGCACGACGTGGAGAAGTACCGCGGTCTCGCAGTCGCGTACGTTGCAGCAACGGTGCACAGTCTGGTGGTTGTCGACGCCGACCTCGGTGAGCTTCGGGAGAAAGTCAACTCGGCCGGTTTCGTCGGGGTTCCGATGGAGGTGCAGCTCGCGAGCATCGAGCGTAGCATCATGCGTCTTCGGGACAGGCAAGCCAACTTGAAGTCCGGGCGACTTGTGCTGAACTAGATCTATGTAGTCACGATGTTTTCTGTCTGATATATGCATATGTCTTCCTTCTTTCACGTTCATAGTGTGATCAATATACACACGCGAGTCAACCTTATGGCTTAACTTCAATGACTCGACTTGAGCGTCGCACCGTCATGCTGAAAATATATAAAACACGTGCGCTCGCGCTCGGTACGTCCGCGGCCGTTCCCAGAGGGCGCGCGTTCGCGTTTGTGGCACATTCAAACCTTCAGGCCTTCAAGGTGTGCGGCCGCGCGCGCATACTGGTAGCGCGCGGGGTCCGCACTGTGGAAACATCTTTCTCCCGACCTTTTGTTTGCTTCTTCGTTTTCCTAGCCGCCGCCATTCCACCATGTACCTTTTCCTTTATAGCTCAATGAGACCATTGCTTTTTTGCGTAAGTCCTGAGTCCTTTCCCATTTCGGCTCTCAAAGAACTTTCGCGAGAACTTTGTTATTGAGAAAGTGCGTTCACTTTCTCTCTGGCACACTATAGCTTAGGATGTCTTCTTTTGTGCTTTCAAGATACTGACATGCTAAGGAGCTTTCTAGACAGGAAACTTATATGTGCCTCCGTAACACCGTCCATCCATCAATCTTCACTTCCGCATTCTACTGTCCCCAACATGGATACCGTGCTTGTAGTCATTCCGCTCACGGTTCTCTTCACCTACCTGCTCCTGGGCAGGCAAAATCAAGGCAACAATCGATCGGAGGTACAGGCGCATACCTCATCGCAGCGCTTCATGCCACCAAGCACAGAAGACGCCAATGGTGGTGCACAACGGGCGACCGCGTCCAGGTGCGGGGCTACACCTCGTCCCATTATTTATCATCTTGTTGACTGATTTTTCTTTCCAGAAGGAGTGGTCATGTCCGCATGCCAAGTGCTCCAGTGGCTTCATCCTCAACGAGTTCCCCTCCCAATGCAGGCGCCGAAGTGCCTATGGAGGTGGATCCGATGGAGCCCCACGAAGTGTACCACGCCGATGATCGTGCTGCACTTGTGCTCGCATCACCCGCCTCTGCCCCCGTTCGCGCCGGCATCGCTGCAGTTCCTGCCTGCGCGAGTCCCGTTCCTGCTCCCGCAGCTCCTGCTCCCGCTCCTGCCCGCGCGACGCCCGCTCCTTCTCGCGTGACCCCTGCTCCCTCTCGCGCGACGCCTGCTCCCTCTCGCGCAACGGCCGCTCCCTCTCGTGCGACACCTGTCCCCTTTTGGGATCGAGCCACTCCTGCCCCCGCCTTTCTTCGCGACACTCCCGCCCCCTCAGCCTTAGATAAACGTGCCTTAACGCGCGCGGACACACCCATCCCATCTCCGAGGGTAGCCACGCCCATTCGTGCTTCCCCTGCCGTCCTCGCGCCCATCCCCGAAGACGGCATGCCAATGCTTCTGTCGCACTGTGGCCTCCTCCCCGGGGCCGAGGAGGAAATCGCTTCATCTATCTCCCGCGCCTTCCTGCCTGTGACGCAAGTCCGCAGCCCGCCCTCGACACCGGTCCGTATCAAGACGGAGCCTTCAGCAGGGCCCTCCAGGCTCCCCACCACGCCCGTGAGGGTCATGAATGGGGCTGGTCATTCAACGGTGAGCCCGAGCAGCATAGCACGGTTCGTTCAGCCAACTTATGGACTTCATACAACAGATCACCCCGGAGTTTCATCAAGGCAACCGTACTCCAAGGAAGAACTCGCCGAGCAAAGGCGGGGTTCCTCCCACAGAGTGGACCTTTAACTGGTATGACTCTTTGTCCGGGGAAGCCCTCTCCGAGCCGCCCGACTTCGTGCCGAAGGGCCCGATCGGCCGCCTATGTATCGGTGACATTTATTATCACCGCACTCCATACGGCTGTCAGCTCTGGCTCAGAGTTGCGGACAGCTACGACGAGCCGCCCTACTGGCTTCCTGTCAGCTGCGGGTACGAGCGCGCGGACGGCAAGTTTCTGATCCTCACCAGGGTCCACAAGCTCCCGTCGTGGGTCGTGGAAAGCACCTACCGGCAGTGGAAGATCGCCGTGAAGAAAGGTATGACAGACTTCATTTCTTTCAATAATTTGACTAACATATCTGTAGACATGGAGCGCGCCGACGGCAAGGAGGAGCAGGATGCCTGAGTACTGCCCTGACAAGTAGAGGGTTGGATCGTCTTGTGCTGCTCGTCTTGTGTCTTTGTTTTGTATCTCCTCTCGTATCTCGCATCGCTTCGTTTCTCATGATCTGTATTGTATAGTTTCACTAATGTGTATGGTTATGTTGTCTGAACGGAACACTTCTCAGAGGGATGTCCTACGGTGCAGCCCGAGTACTGCACGATGCGGAATGGCGCCGCGATGTACGGCGCACTGATGCGTAGCGAGGCTCGGCTCGGAGCGTAGCAGCGCGGAGCGGGACAATGCGCATCGATGTGTCCCGGAGCGAGGGGTTTCAGGTGAGTTGGAGTGAAGCGGTGCGAGTCAGGTCGGAGCGTTGCGATGCGCACCGACATGGACTGGAGTTCGTGCCAGGAGCGAGGGTATAGCGTCCGAGTCGTTTCAGACTGAGCTCCGAGCGTTGCGCAGCGGCACGGAGTGATGCGGCGCGGCTCGAGGCGGAGTGGCGTGGTGTGTATCGCGTGGACTGGGATACGCATACACTGGAACGGCAAGGAGAGATGGATAGCGAGGAGTCATGCGCACAGGTACGTTGCGATGCGGGGAGGAGCGATTAACAGTGACGCAGAGAGATTGGGTGCGATCAGACGTGGACTGGCCCGGTGCGGACTATAGCCGAGGTGCATTGGGGAGGACTGGAGAGGGTACACCAATGTGTACCGACGCGCCCGGGAGCGGTGGGCCGCGAGGAGGATCGGAGTAGAGCGGAGCGGTGTGCAACCGCGCGGACTGGAATAATGCGCAGCGGATCGGCCCACCGGAGTATTGCGCATCGACGTGTCCAGGAGCGAGGGATTGGGATCTATTGGAGCGGTGCAGCGGGAGGCAGATTAGAACGGTGCAGTTCGACGTGGGATCGGAGCGGAGCGGCGTGCAACGACGCGAACAGGAGCAATGTGCCGCGGTGCGGACCGGAGTAGTGCGCATCGACGCGTCCGGGAGCGCCGCGAGGCGGATTGGAGTAGAGCGGAGCGGTGCGCAACGGCGCGTACTGGAATAGCGCACAGCGGGAGCGATGAGTCGAGTACAGAGGGACGGTGTACAACGACGCGAACAGGAGCAATATGCCGCGGTGCGGACCGGAGTAGTGCGCATCGACGCGTCCGGGAGCGCTGCGAAGCGGATTCGAGTGGTGCGCAACGGCGCGTACTGGGATAGCGCACAGCAACGCGTCCGGGAGCGATGAGTCGAGTACAACGGAGCGGTGTGCAACGGCGTGGAGTGAAATGATGCGCAGCAACGCGGACCGGAGTAGTGCGCATCGACGCGTCCCGTCCAGGAGCAAGGGTCTCGAGGTGGGTTCGCGGGCGGTACCGCAGCGGAGCGATGCGCACCGAAGCGTGGCGCAATCCAGACGGGGAGACAAAAATTGAAGTATTTGAACGTGGTGTACTGCGGATTTTGGGTGGCCATGAGCGTAGTCACTGCCTGTGAGGCGCACGGAGGGACGGGAATGAAGGGTGTATCGACGTGGGCTGGAGTTGGGCGCATAGACACCAAGGGATAGCCTAGTCCAACCATACAGCTTCGTACGGCTATCCTAGGGGATTGCTCTAGATCTCCTGGATCGAAAGCGTATGAGTACATGCTATATAATGCAAGGAGTAGTGTACCACTTTGAGGTAGTGTACCACTTTGAGTAAGGTAGCCTACAATGCGTCACTATATCGTCGCGCGTGGACCGTCCAAAAGGGGGAGAAAAGTCGAAACAATAGTTAAACTTGTCGCCTACTTTTGACATGGTTTTGCAGTCGCCGAAAGGTTGTGCTTCAGCTGGTTTTTTACGCAGTTTCAGACCGTATTGGGTACAAACTTTTTGACGGTGAGCAATGGTTCGAAAAAGGAGACGAAAGGTAAAAACGCACAATGCTTTTGGCTGATCCAAAAGCGGGAGGAAAGGACGACTTCTTCTCTCCGATTTATCTCACTTTTGTCCCCTGAGAAAACGCGTGGAAAGTGGCGTAAAAGCTTTCCATTTGTAGCTTCCAAATGTCTTGCCTTCTGAATATCGAAAATCCGTTGCCCGGGAAAACATGTGGATCGTCGAAAAAGGCTCCACAAGGAAGACAAAGGTTTGCCTTTTATCTCCGTTTCACGACGTTCAAAAAATGTCGGCCAGCTTTGCCGCCAATCGGATTTCGTATCGGACAAAAGCAGAATCTTAAGATAACCTTTACTACTGTCTCAAAGCGGGATAAAAACCACACTCAAGGCTTCCACTTGCCTCCTCCGGGATTCGGTCAAAAGTGGTATCAAAGTTTAACTATTGTTTCGACTTGTCTCCCCCTTTTGGACGGTCTCCAAAGGACGGATGCCCGTCGTGCCAGGAACCCGGGGCCCCCCCCCCCCCCTTTTGCCGGCCTGATGCGAGCACAAGCGGGCTGCGGTGACGCAATTCTCCTGATGAGCAGAGAAAGCCTCGCAGCTCGAAACCTGCAGCTCGAGCTCACTGCTCGAGCGTCGAGCAGCTGCAGCACTACTGAAAGTAGTCTTAGTGTCCGCGATGGAGCACACTTGAACTCGAAATAAACACATTTGTGAGCGGCGGGCGCCCGTGATACAGCGAGATTCACCTGGGTATACACCAAGGTTCGCTGAACATTTCTGCGCAGCCCCTGAGCAAATAGATTGCTGTACGGGCGAAGTTCAGGCTGTTCCCGGCCGGCTTCAATGTCGCGGGCAGAGAGTTTCCTCTGAACAAGGACACCGCTCGCGGAGCATCGTCGGCGTCTAAAGCGCGACGCGCCTGGTCAGGTGACCTACTTAGTAAACGCGCGCACTTCGACGACTCGAGGGGCACTCACGATGGTCGATTACTCCTCCAAAATTTCACGAGCGTGCTCTAGCGCATGCAAAGAGCACTCCTGCCAATTTTTGTGGCGAAATATGCAACGGTGCACAAGTTTTCGAGCTTGTCACTCACAGAACGCGAACTAGGACCCAGGACACCGGGAGAGGGGGGGGGGTCCGTTGAGGTCCGTATCCCCGATTCAGATCTTGCCTGCCTCTTGCTCTCTCCAGGCTCTCTTGCTCTCTCTTGCGCTCCTGTCGCTCTCCTGCATCTCTCTCTCCCTCTCAAACACACTCTATGCTTCCTACTACGGAGACTATGACCATATACTTCTTGGAAATTCAACATTTTTCTCACTTCTCTACGCTTTGACATCAATTGTGCCTCGACTGGTTTTCACGCACTAGTGCCAGCTTTGTGGAGGGTTCGAGGGCCTGTACGAACCACAGTTCTCAATCGGCCGGTTCGTCTCTCGACTTCTTGTACTGAATCACCATGGCCGAGACCACAATGGGGCACTCGGGTCGCTTCTTGCATCACTGCTTTGGTTGTCAGCGATCATATGTTTAGTAGTGCCTGGAAGTTACTCTGCAGTCATGAATATCAACGGTGGCCGTCTCCATTCCGTTCATCAAAGACCGTACATAGTGTGCGTATGCAAAGGAACGATCTCCTGCCGTTGATTACCGGAGCCAAATCCACGCTAGTACTCCTAGGTCATCTTTTTAATGGTGCTAATCACGCGCGGTGCACGTGCCTTCCATGATTATTGCTCGGCCACGAGGTACAGTGTCCTCTATGCCTAGAGTCTAGCTACCATACGGAGGAAATGTGTTACGCACGCGAGTACTCTATGTACTCACAGTGTGGGACTGCATGCTTACCGTATGGCCATCCCAGACTAATCTCCCACCGGCACGTACAATCACAGCGGCTTACCCACCAAAACCCCGGGTGAATGTGTCCAATCTGTAGGAAGTCGGTGCTCATCTTGCAGAGTCTTCTCCCATGTCGCCAGGACTGCCGTGGTTGGGATTGCCCATTTCCCTGCTACGCGCTTACTCACCAGCACGCACTCATTTCGGAGCTGTTTGTTCAAGGCCTGTAGCCAGCGGCACTCCATGTGTGTCTCCTCCATTTGCGGGAGTTGGGCTCTCTCTCCTACCACACGGTCACATTGAAGAACCCATATTAGGTACACCGTCTCTGTGAGGACGATTTGCGCTAGCCTGGTTGCACTGTGGAGGGCGTCTCCATCATTGCCAGACATAGCGAAGGTATGTCCTCCCAGCGCAACACCCACCTTGACCGCCGGTAATGTCAGCAATCTCTTAGCGAGGATGCCTCGTGCTAATGCCCAGGCCATACTCCGTCCCGGAGCAGAACACTCTCATAGGATGTGCTCCATACTCTCCTCCACTCCACAATATGTGCATAGGGCCCGTGCCTCGTAACCAGGTATGTGTGCCTAGTACTTCCCCACATGGTGTCCGATGTGCAGGGCGTGCCAGAGGAAGTCTCGTGCTTTCCTCGAGACTGTGTTCTTGTGCAGGAATGTCCAGATCATCAGCTTGGATGGGTGTTGATGTGTACTCACCGCGCCTGCTGCCCGCCACGGTGTGGGCACCGCTCTCAAGCTCACTTTCCCCAATGCCTATCCCTGCGCAGGTGTCGGGCCCCGATGCGTGCCCCGAAGACTGGAGCCCCGAAGGCTCCCCGGTCTCTTGCGCCCGCGGCCGATTCGCCATCCACAAGTTGGGCCACGTAGGCCGCGACAGCGGGGACGCCTGTTAGGGATGTGCCACACGGTAGGTCCGGAGTTCGGAGTTCCAGGGTCCGGAAGGGTCCGGAGTTCGGATGGAGTCCGGACGGAGGTGTGGCACGGAGGGGAAGGACTTCAGCGAAGCTATTAGCAACGCTCTGAGACCTCCTGCGGTTGTCCTTAATTTCCGAAGGAACAGAGGGTCGGACTTGACCGGAGTTCGGGGCTGACTAAGCCGGAGTTCCACGCTGACTAAGTGGAACAAAGTCCGAGACAATCAGAGCAGAACAGAGAAGAGGATGAAGAGGATGGCGAGGGACGAAGTCCAAGGGGACTTGTCGAGCAAGCAAGATCAAACAAAGTCCGATGTCCGGAGTTCCGGAGCTTGTAGGCTCGGAGTTACCAGATTAG